CAAGGGTGGTGTTCCGGTTAGAGAAGTAGCATCGTTGGTGACACAAATCGAAATGCAGCAAGTTTGGGGATTTGTTTTTGTCTTACAATTTTTACGTTCGGAAGCGAACTGTTTCACAAACTAATATAATAAAGGACTTTGAATAGTTCAGCAAATCAGTTCGGTTTTTGCGTAGAAACATAAATAAACAATGACGTAGAAACATAAATAAACAATGACATATTTTTTGTGCATTAAAACGTATTTTTTGTTAGTTATTTGGGTAAAGATATTAATTGTTAATGAATTAAAGATTATTTGGCTCGGGTTCATATAAAAAATAAAATTCAGTAAATGTAGTAACTCTAATATGAAGTTTTGTTTTACACTTTTACTCCAAACCTATTTCATTTTGGAGTAGAAAATAAAGTAAAAATAAAAAATTGAGTAATAAATGGGATTAATCCATATTTAAAGTAAAACATATGTTTTTTTACTCCATTTTGGAGTTGAAAATGGAATATGATTGGACAAATTTGACTTTAAATTCTATTTTAGAGTGAAAAATAGAGTGAGGTTGGAGATACACTAACTGTTCAGGTTACAAATAAAGTTTAGTTCGGTTTTGATTTACAAAAATTTAGCTCAGTTCGATTTATTCATTTTAGATTGGTTTTATGCACATCCCTATGAATTATTCTACAAGCCTCAAATCGCTTATTCCAAATATTAATATGGATTCACAAAAAAGAGGAAAAAAATGTTATGAAAGTTAAAAAGAAAAAACTTTCAAAGATATCACTTGTGAAGAATATGCAACCCACCGTTACTATGCATGCATAATAACTTATCTTTTACATCTATAAATAAAACATCGAATGAGCATTATAAAACACAACATTTCATCAGATAATAAGAATTTCTTACGCCCTCTTCCTCTATATTTCTCAATATACTATTTTCCACCGGATATAAATTTTTTCATTTTTATTTATATTCATAACAAATTCTCATTTTTTTTATAACAAAGAAGTAATTTATGTGTCTTCGTAAGGTTGTGCGGAATTTTTGATTGATGTGCATAGTTATGCGTTATTGTTTCATTGATAGATATATCAACCTTTTGTTTGGTGCGAGGATTAGTGGTTTGGGGTCGCTTCTCTTTCATACTATTCATTTCACTATCTCTTAAACCCACCGATCCTCCTTATTTGTTAGTTCCAACCGCAAGTCATGCTTTCAATATCCCCACAAGTACTTTGACAATTTTTACAAATGTAGATAATAAATCTTTGCTTTTATTGTCTTAGGTGTCAAAAGCAACCCTAACTTTTAAATTTTGATTAATTTATTTTAAGAAGATTTATGTAGACGTTGATTCGTTTTCCTTTTCGGCAGTTGAGATCTATCGATCTTAATATTGTCTGAAAAGGAAAAGTACCAACTCTCCCATACTTACACAAGTCAATGTTGCTTGGTAAGATATTAAAGAATATCAAACGAACCATGTTCGGTAATTTATGGATCAACACTCATGAGTTATTGTGAGAACCAGACCAACTAGTTTTTTAAATCTTTTCTAACAATTTCTTTTTGATAAACCAATCGTTTGCTTTAGATAAACTAATATACGACGGTTAATATTTTCTAATTTAAGTTAGCGAGTGGTTCCTATGTAGTCATGGATTTTAACCTACGTTGCATGGAAACGTGAAAAAGTGGCGTTTCCGTTTCGAAAACGTTTCGGAAACGGAAACGCGACGTAAACGCGAGGAAACGCGTTTCCTAAATATCCCGATTTGGAAACGTGTTTCCACAGTTGGAAACGCGGCTGGAAACGCGAATTTTGGTTTTTTTTTTTTAAATTAATTTTGGTTTTTGAAGCAAATTAAATAAAGAGATTTGTTTGATATTTTTAATAAGTTTTAAAACCTAATTATTAAACACTAATACATTATTTTTCTCTAATCGTCACCGTAACCTAAAAACGTAGAAGAGTCGAAGAGATAAGTAAGATATTTTTTCCAATTACAGTAGATTTGTTATTGATTATTGAAATTTTGAAGTCGTATACAAACGAAGTGTTTTTTGTTCGAGTTGGATTAGATTTGTGTTGTTTCAAATATTTTAAAACCATTGATAATTTTGGTTTCATGATATATATATATATACACGTTTCCAAAACGTTTCCGTTTCCTCTTTTTTATAGAAAAAAATCGTTTCTGCGTTTCCTAACGTTTCGCTTCCACATTTCTATTTCCGTTTCCATACAGCTTAGATTTTAACGTTATATAATTTTGGTTGTGGATGTGCAGCATTATTTTAAAAAAATTAGTTGTAGATGTGATCTTAATTATAAAATGGCTCACACATATGCCTAGTTGATATCCATTCAGTAAAAATTTGGCAACACTCTTCTCACAAAATCTCTTTTGGGAAAATGATTCAACTTTGAATTTTAACAATATTATTTATGGAAATAGCAAACCAACTAAAAAAAAATTATGACACAAGTATTCAACTAATTTAAACCATCATCCAGGAACTAAAACCCACATTATTACATTGGGGAATCACAAAAATGTCACAAATGGGCTAACAGTTTGCAAAACTGCCATACGCGCTGGGCCCTTTACAAAAATTCTACGATTTTATCCGAGAAGGACAAATTTACCCCTGAAACAAAGAACGCTCTCAATATTCTCACTCCCAAAACCTAATCGCCATCAGCACTTTTCATCTCTTTAGAAAGGAAATCGAAACTTTTTAGACGTAATTGGAGAGGAAATCGAAGCTTTTTAGAGGTCATTCGAGAGGAAATCGAAGCTTATTAGAGGTAATTTTCATCTCTATTTCTCGATTTCTCAATCTAGGTCTAGATCTAGTTTTTGATTCGCGATTTCGCAATTTCGTCGATTTGTGTAACAGATTTTACTAGTTTATTT